GGAATAGGGGATGGTGTGGCGGCTACTACATATCTGTAATGCAGACGGTGCATGACAAAGAGTCAAAATGCACGATTTCAGAGTTCAAGCGGGAACGAGTGCGAGCACCATCCATAGTAAGCGCGCGTCCAGAATTTAGCCGATTGCTGTACAGGAACCAAAGTGCGATGCGATGAGGCAGAAAGACTGGCGAGGGGAGTTGGCAGGCTTAGAGCCACTGCTCTGTAGGCATCATAGCAATGTCAAGAACGCGCCAGGCTGTCCAGGGATTCATTTCGTTTTGGTCTCGACACAACGCCCATACGTGGGTCACGCGAAGCACCTTCTCTGGGTCACCCTCTTTTACCTGACCCAGGGAATCGCGAATGCAGGAAATCTGCTGCGCCTGGAAGGTGATGATTAGCACCGGACCCTGGTCCATCATCTTACCCATATGAACCTGAAGTAAGAAACCAGACGAGCACATGTTAGAAACAAGTTAAAAATGGAAGCCACATTAGACCCATGGAGTTTGTTTTAGAGTAAACCCACATTCACACTTCCATAGTTAGCCGGTGCTCGAAGTACTAGGAAGTAGTTTAGTCAAGCACATAAGAAAGTAGCGTAATGCAAGTCCAAATGGAAGTCCCATGAAGCCTAGAGAATCCCGAGTCGTTGGCTGGACCACTTAGCTGATTACTAATTGGTAATTCTGAGGAACAGACAGGCCTTAAGTCGTAAATGAAACATTGTCGGCAACTTGTTGAGTTTAACGCAATGTGCCTGGCTAGAAGGGATACCCTAGCTTTCATATTGAACACTGGTTAACTCTTACTCAAGCAGTAGGAAACCAACAAGTGAAAAAAACGTGCCGATTATAAGAATTGTGAAACAGTGCATACCAACCAGGGCTCAGTAAGCCATATTCAGGTACAACCAGCTGCAGTGACCATAGTCATGTCATTTACGACCATTTCCCATACTTCATTTAGGATATTTGTAGGCGGTGGGCCAGAGGTGATTTTCGTGCTAATCCCATAGACCTAGCAGGTACGCTGTGCATACATTCGAGGAAACTCAATGGTTCCTTCTAGGTGCGCCACTTAAGAGGCAGAAGTTTTACCGGCATGAGCGTGCATTACCACGGGGCGGAGCAGCCAAACAGAATGATCTAGTTGATGACTAACAGAAGTACATTTACGGTTGCATCAGGAAAGTGGTACGTTGTCAAATCAAATGGATAGACAAGGAGTAAAGGATAATAACACAATGTGGAAACGTATTGAGCGGCAGACAAAGACTACGTAACATACGTCAATGTTGTTGACATCAAGAACTCGAGAGTCCAGCTTGTAGCCCATCTCCAGGGTCTGCTTTATTGGTGCCGACAGCACGTTGAAGGGCTGTTTTTACGAGAAAAAACGGT